GGCTATGGTAATATTAGATGAGAACAGCACGGATGCGCAACAGATAAGTAGAAGAGTGAAACAAGACTGTGTTATTTTACCATTGCTATTTAATATATAATCGGAAGAGTTATTTAAACATTTTACTTCCTGTCCAGAAGGGTCCTAATTTTGAGGAAATGCCATTGAAGATATTTTAGGAGCGAAAGTACTTGGGCAAAATGTAATAAAAACTGTGGTCGATATCTGTCTTTTATTTAATTAAAAATCAAGATAAATGGTGAACATATAAATATTCGCTATGTTAACGATAGGACGAGTATTACTGATGTTGTGGAACGCATAGCGGAACTAAAATGGAACTGAGCAGGCCATGTAGCGAGAATGCACGATTCACGATGAACGAGCAAAATTACAAATTGGAGGCCAAGAGCAGACAAACGCAGTAGAGGAAGACCACCTACACGTTGAGCCGACGACATCAGGCGTATCAATAAAAATTGGCAACAAAGACTCAAAATCGTGAGGAATGGAGGAGTTTAAGGAAGGCCTATGTCCAGCAGTGAACGTGATAAATAGAGGCTGGATGATGATGATGATGACGATGTTAACGATACAGTCATTATCGCTAAAAGTGAGACAGACCTGCAGATGCTACTGAACACAATTTGTGATACTGAGGAACAATTTGGTTTAACAATAGACATAAAGAAAACAAAAATCAGGGTTATTAGTAAGAAGGGTAAGGTCATAAACAAGGATCCAGATAAAAAATGAATATATTGAACAAGCGGACAAAATTAAATACCTAGGGGTCTGGATTACTGACGATCTAAATCCGAAATTGGAAATTTGATCAAGGATAGCGCAATTAAGAACAGCCTTTTTGAAGATGAGGAAATAAGTAACCACAGAGTAAATCTGAATATCCGATATCGGATGGTAAACTGTTATATTCTCTCTATTCGACTTTATGGTGAATTTAAAATAATGATATGAAATAAAATATGAAAAATATCATGGACCGATCGTATTACGAATGAAATGGTGTTGCACAGTATGGGAAGAGACAAAGAACTTTTGGCCACCACTAAATGATAGAGAAATGATAAGTACGAGTTGTTGCAGCTGATTGTGAACGGTCTTGAATAAAATCGATGAACTTGCTCTTCATACAATAAGTCACCGATTTAACTATCGTGGGCTTCTTCATATGGGATTATTTAAAAAGCAAGATTTATAATAACATTCCAGCTTTATTGGAAAAAATAAGATAACGAATAGTGCATAACTGTAGTGTAGTAATCCCTAGAATGCAACAAAATGTTTTTCTTAATTTCGAACAGTGACTTTGTAATTATATGGTCGTTGGTGAATATAATTTTGAACATTTAAGTAAATAGTTATAACTCATAAGTAAACTGTTTAAAATTATGAATTTATTAATTTAAAATTTAGTTCATTTTATTTACGTTACATTTAATAAAGTTTCCTATTAATGTTGCAAATTTCGTTTTAATGTAGTTTTTGACGTGACCGGAAATTAACAAATTAACACCAGCAATACATAGACGTTACGTTTAGTTTTTAAGAGGTGTAATACTTTTAATAAACCGATTCTTACATAAGAGTAGAGTTGATATTGAAAAAAATATGGATGTCTAAATTCTCTAGCAAACGGTATATTCCTTATTCAAAATTTAAGGTTTACTTCACTGAAAGGAAATAGGAGTAAGACAAAGATCATAATAGTAGACAGAGCTCGGAATAATCTTCAACCCATTAAAGAAATTGGGGGATTCGAAGTAGTAAATAGTTTAAACAAAAAAATTGATTAACCAAGGGTTACATGAAGCCAAACAATTAGCCCAGGACAGGGAAGGATGGAGGGAAATCGTGAACAAACTGTAAGGGCCTGATGGTACCACCACATCCCAAAAAGGATTAAGACTGAGAAGGAATACTGAAAGGAAGGAGGTTGACAATTGACTGATATCTATGTAGTTAAAAGATTACACTTTTAGAATAAAAATCGACCTGTTTTAACATTTTCACTAAATCTTATGAATGTTGTCAAATATCAGGGTGGACTCTTTTGAGTAACCATCCCTGTATATGAGCTATTGAAACTATTTTCCGAACAAGCAATTGGATAAAATTAGTTTCTGCAGATATAAAACGACCATAAACCAGATCGTTGCCTCAAGAAAGATTCTAAAAAAGATTGGCGGACATAATTATGATACACATCACTCAAACATTAACTTTGGAGGTGCCTATGATAATAATATTAATAGAAAATTCATTTTCTAATTTTCATACTAGAGAATTGTATAAAATAGATTGGAGCAACAACTACCACAGGAATTTAAACATAAAACAACAGAAGAGTTACATAGAATAATAAGAACAGGAATACATCAAGCGGTCAAAGAAGCATTAGGCATAAAAGTAAACAAACTCAGAAAGACAAATAATTGGTGGAATGATGAACTACAGGAAACGAAAGTACAAAAGCAAAAATTATATCACAGATGGCTGGGAACAAAGGATCAAGAACACAAAAGAGAATATAGAGAAATGGTAAATAAATTTAAATCCACGATAATAGAGTCAAAAAATCAAAGCTGGGAGAGAAAATGCCAGGAATTAGATACGTACATTGGCGGCCGCAAATCAAGAGAATCCTGGAGGTTTATAAAAACATCAGATTCAACAAAACAGAACAAACAGCCATACACTCCATAATGCCCGAAAAATGGGAAAAACACTATAAAACACTGTTAGTAGAAGAAAGACCGGAATACAAAAACATAAAACAACATGAAGTCCTGATTCAAGGAGAGCCCCCAACAATTAACATCAAAGAAAATTAAAAAGCTGTATCATTGTTGAAAAATGGACGTGCTCCGGGCCCAGAGGGGATATATGAAGAGTTAATAAAAAATGGAACCAACAAACTATTCGAGATACTAACACAAGTTTTTAATAGGCACTTGCACGGAGAACAAGTGCCACAAAGTTGGAAAGAAGGAGGGAGTACATCTATCCATAAAAAAGCAAATAAGGAATATTGCAATAACTATCAGGGTATAACTGTTACGAGCACGCTTAGCAGATTATATGGGAGACTAATAAAAGAACGCATATGCGAAGAATCTGCTTATCCCAAATACTCGAGAAAATAACATTGAGATCTCGAGAAGTGCATTTACTTTTAGTAGATTTAACAAAACATATGACACCGTGCCTGTTGCGAAATTGTGTGAAGTATTGGAGAAAACCAGTATCAGCGTTCCACTAATGCACTATTAAAGATCTATATAACAACACAATATCAAAAGTTAAAATAGGAAATAAGGTTTTTAATGGTTTTCAGGTAACAAAAGGACTGAAGCAAGGTTATTGTTTATCTCCCATACTATTTAATGTATATATCGACGAAGCACTCAAGCACTGGAAAAAGAAGTGTAAAGGGCTGAGGCTGTCTATTGGGGATGAAACGTTATACACGTTGCGCTATGCAGATGACCGACCAAGGTAGTTATTGCCCAAGACAAGGAAGACCTGGAGTAAATGGCTAGAATAGTAATGGAAGAGGACAAAAAATGGGACTCGAAGTAAATTTACACAAAACGCAATATCTTTGCATAGGAGGAGAAAATACTGCAGATGACCTCGACTTAAAATTAAGAAATATGATCAATGTATATATTTGGGGGTAAAACTAACAAAAACAGGAAGATCTGATGAAGCCATGAAAGACAGAATAACCAAAGGTAAACGAGTTACAGGTGCATTGAATTCAGTACTATGGCCGAAAAATATAAGACCGGAAACGAAAATAAGAATATATATCACCATATTGAAACCAGTAATCGTCTATGGCTCAGAAGTATGGTAGTTATCACAAAAACTTGAAGGTAACCTATTGGCAGTTGAAATGGATTTTTAGAGGAGAGCAGCGGGAAAGTCTCGATTAGAACATGTGAGAAATGAGGACATGAGGAATCAATTGAATGTACAACGATCAATTATAGAAGACATCGAAAAACAACAACTGACTGGGTACGGACGTGTTAGTCATATGGGGTAAGAAAGACTACCAAAAAAAATATTAGAATGGGTATCACCAGAGAAAAGAAAACGACGACGACCACCAACAACATGGATGCAAGGAATTTCAAAAGCAATGTCAGCAAGAAATCTATCTGCAGAAGACTGGCAGAATAGACAGGCTTGGCGAACGGGAACCCAAAGGAGGATTACCGCCATGAACGGTATATATATATATATATATATATATATATATATATATATATATATGTATATATATATAAGTATATATATATATATAATATATATATATATATATGTATATATATATATATAAGTATATATATATATATATATATATATATATATATATGTATATATATATAAGTATATATATATATATATATATATATATATATATATATATAGAAAATCCATAATAGAAACATTAAATTGCAACAGGGACCTAGAAATTAACGATAGCAAAACAAAATATAGAACAAGTACCTTAAAAATCTTATCAATTTACATGTCTGTGTTCGTGTTTCTCGTTAGACAAAAAAAAAATAGTACAAAAGTTAAAAGAGGCGAAACTACTTCACCTCATAAATTTGTGTAGAATTGCAATCCTCTTCTCTCTTCCATTATATTATAAACAACTTTTTGAGTCATCTGCTAACTTAATAAGGTCTTAGTGTGAGTCCTAGTGGAAGCACTAAAAAATATAGTAATAATGCTAACTGCATGCTTCATGGAAACACTGTTTATTTTTAACACCAAACAATAACAACTAAATTCATTCTAAACGTAAAGAATGTGAATCTATGCATATCTTAACCTACGACATTGAAACACTTTGACAGGACCGGTTATAATAATATTGGTAACGTTTATAAATACCATTATAAATTAATATTAATTAAACAGATCAAGGTCTGGTTAAGATTATTCAACAGTGTACTTACTAATGTCTAGGGAATTACGCGCTCAACGTCACGACAGAAATTCACTTCAATTTCATTTTCACATAAGCACCGCCAAATGTCACCTTTATTTTAGTCTATCACCTTTTATTTTATGTAAAAATCACCTTTTATTTTAGTCTATTATTTGGAAGCGTTTTACAACCAAGAAAATTGAAATATAATACCTTCAATGGCATTTGAGTTTGATAAACTGACTTAATTGAAATGCGCTATTGTTGAAAATGTACAAGTTAATTGATGCGATATATGTCAGCAAATGTGAGTTGGGAGGACAGGATCGGACTAACTATTCACAGTATTATTATCGAAGATCGGTAGTATTTGTTGCATACATATTTCCCTTTAATCTTTTATTAACAAAAATTTTAAATTTGGTATTTGAAAATTTAATTTAATTTTAAAATAACACTAGTTTACAAAAAAAAAAAACATGATACCACTAGTAAACTAAAGATTTTTCTTAAGCAAATAAAAATCTAATAACTAAATAACATAATAGTATAAAACGTAGGTTACTTTTTATAATACAATGAACAACAGTTCCTTTTTTCGCTAAAGCAAAATCCAACTTTACACGTCGCACACTCCCATCTGGTTCTGTGATGATCCTTACTAGTGTGACAAAAAGCACATCGTCTAGATGACCCGTGTTGTGGCATATGTAAACGTTGGTCAAAGCGTTTCTCATAAAGCACATTTTTTGTGGTTGTAGGAAAAGCAACCTTACTTCGTGACAGGTTACTACCACTGGCGCCGATTAATCCTGCAGCTACAGATAACCTAAAAAATTTCAGGTTTGGAACCGTGCATTTCGCTTTTTGTTGGAAAAGAATAAAAGAATTCACAACGAACATATCTATGAAATACCACAAAATTCGGTGCCATCATTTCTTTGATTTGCGGTCAGTCTTATACAGAGATTTCAGCATATCTGTTTTGTCAACGTAATCCATATGCTGGTTATGTTCTTTGACTATCGTTGGACAGCTTGTGAATTTTCGTCTTTTTGCTTGCGGGAAACAGTTTCTTCTTCTGAACTGTTTTAATAATTTCCCAATAAATGCACTACTTTCCGGTCTCTCCATTTTACAAACATCAGTCCATCTTTGCTGATCCTCCAGTTCGATCGTCCTTGGAAGTGTGATTCTTTGTCAGATGCTAAGTTTTTTGGAATACTTTGTTAGTTCTGACAGTGCCACACGCATAAATACATTCTGATTGAAGTTATTTTTGTAAGGGCTCAAAGTTGAAAAAGTTATTAAAGAAAACGTGATATCCTTTTGCCACCAAATCTCGAGTCCAATCTAAGATATTTCTTTGGCCCAAATCTTTTTTATTTTAGGTTGATCGTTAGTTTTTCCAACATATATTTGAAATTGGTAAACATATCCATTCTCGTCAGATCCAACCCAAACTTTATAACCCCTTGGGATGAGTTTTAGAGGCATACATTGCTTTAGACAACTAGGACCCTTGAAACGAATCATAGATTCTTCTATGGATTGATCGTTTGAAGAGCCATATAAAGAACAAAAAGTTTCTGATAAAGTATCCAATAAAGGGCGCACTTTATACAACCTGTGATGAGTCGCGACGACGCATCACCGAATTATCTAATCGTAAAAAAAATCTACTGACTTCTTCATATCATCTGGAATTGTAGGACCGGTTTTCTCAGTGAACCGCTTGATGTTAGTAACGCAAGATGCCGCTTAGTTAGTCCAGGTTGTTCTTTAAGCTAATTTTATATCCCTCAAAATAGAAAAGAGAATATCGTCTTCGTCGTCCGGGAAGGCTTCATCATTAGGAATATTCTCTGAATTGTCGTCTCTTAAATGTTGGTCTGGCTGGTTATTTTTAAGTATTATTGGCATATTCATAATGCCAAGCAAATCCTCTTCGTCACTACTCGATTCATCTGACTCGTTATCTGCAGGAATGTTATCTAATAATGTGAATAGACCAATCGACGACATATTATTTAGCTCTCTGAATGGATATCCTTTTTTTCCAAAATAAAAAAAATAATTACATATTTTATCTAGTTTCTTAGTGGTTTCAGGATGCAACCGGCATTTCTTCAATATACTTATTGTAAAGTAAAAACTTTTAGTAATAAGAAGTATTAATCATACCTTCAAATGTTTCTAATATTGTAAATAAAAAATAAAGTTACTTGCCATAGCGAAATAATTCAAAAACCACCAAAATTACTTATACCACTAGCCCGGTTCAAAAAAAGTGTTATTACCACCTAATAACTGAATAACGAAAATATAAACAGTGGTGCGCGATACGTTTTAAAGTAGAAGGAGCCTTATATATATATATATATATATATATATATATATATATATATATATATAATATATATATATATATATATATATATCATATTCCGTGAGTGGTTTCAGTGAAATACCACTGAGAACGTAGCTAAAAATTTATTTGTATGTGGTTTCACAATGAAACCACTAGAAAACAAAGAGTAAAGTGATTCGATAACGTGAACCAAATCTTACTAATCTTTGACTACGAAAAACGAATGTAGGATATACAGTAGGTACAGTTTCATTCCATCGACCTTGGCACCATTTTTGATTACTGAAATATCCTAATGGATACTTCTCCACGCTCATTATTCACAGCGACACTACTATGGAAAATAAGTCAATTTTGGAATGGAGAAAGTACGTTTTAAGAGACATGTTACATCCGAGTTGTTGGAATGTGTCCAGTAATACTTTGATAAAATAACGGTATTTATCATCTCTTGTGTTGCCTAAAAATCCATGAATACTAGATAATTCCTTAAGAGCTTTTCAAGATTTTGTTTCTCCGAATTTCAAAGCCCTGTCAAATGCGAGATTCTTTATAAGTTAACGTATTTGTGATGATTGATGTCATTCCTTTGTCAATTTTTTTTTGTCAAACCCAGGTCCATGAGAGTAACGACATTCTTTTCGTTAGGGTTAAGGTTTCTTGCAGGGCAATCTGATTATATATATTATGATTTTCTAATTCTACTGTTCCAAATACATAAAACAGAACAGTGATGACTTTCAGATCAACACATATTTTCCATTTCTGATCATCATATTTAAATATTAGTCCAGTCTTCAAAGATTCTACGTTTAAAAATCTTGCAAACAAGCTGAATTTTGCTGAGAATGTCAATTTTGGGACAAAAAAAAGATGCAAATAAATTTGCCACTCCTAAGAAAAAAATCGATTTATCAAGAATTTGTACGCTGTACAAAAAATTATAGCTGCGATAATTTTGAGTGAAAATGTTTACGACACTTTTTTTTAAGAATGAACCGTCTTCTTAGAAACAACGCTTGAAGCGACCGGTGATTTTTAATGTTAGTTACGAACACAAAATCAATTTTTAATTCAATTTTATTGAATTATTTAATAATCAATCGATTTTCGGTTTTTTGGCGCAATTAACCCTCGGGCGGGCGTTTAATATAAACACTGCCATTAATTTTAAAAATTTTTGTTTAAAAATCATAAAACGTCGAGTACCAAGTCTCCGAACTGGGCGTACCGGAGACTAGAGGCCCGAACAAGCAATTTCAGATTTGCGGAGTTAAAAGAGGATAGCAGGAATAAAGCGCCTAACGGTAGCCTGCATTTGATACGGTTAGGTAATCTAGTTGGAGTTATTGTACCCAGAACTCCTACATAAAGAGAATTTTGCTAATAGAGTTCCCCTGTCCTGCATCAGAGTGAAGGGAAAAGGATGGTCTGGGGCATTGCAGCACGGTGGAGTGATACCTTCTTGATACACGAATTATTACACCCTGCTCCAATGCGTCATTTCAAGAGGTGAACAAGTCTTTTGTTATACGTAGTTTGTTATAAATTGAGTTATACGGTTTCTATAAACAAGCTCTGAAAAGTATTACTAGAAACCACATTGGCTTCATTCTAATAAAAGCATTACGGATCTTCAAGTACGTACAAATATGTACATCAAAGATGCTGTATTTTGTCAACCTTGTTTAAGATATATATTGCGACAGCATTAAAACAATAGAAATGTTAATATAAGGGTATGGGTAGACCTTAAAAAGATGTATTTTTTTATTTTGTTGATGACAAGGTCACCATAGTGAATGATAAAAATGATCTGGAATATATGCCAAGGAAACTTCAAAAGAAATAGAGAAAGCGGGGGTTGGAAATTAATGCAGCATAAAATAAGTATCTACCAATAAGAACCGAGATGGCGAACATCATATTAAAAGACAATGACATAAGTATGTCCTGTGACCGATACACGTACCTTGAAGTGGTTTTCTACTCGACAATAACAGACAATCAAGAAATAAAAAAAAGATTAAGGCAAGCTAGAAGAACGTTAGGCTATTTGAATAGTATACTCTGTACTAATAGGGAAAAGAAGGAAAATATAGATAAAACTCTTATTAAAAGTAGTCTTTTATACCGAGCCCAAATTTGGAGAAAAACAAAAGAAAGCTGAAGGCAGTCGAAATGGACGTCTTAATAACAACAGATGTGGAGATCAAGCAAGTGATAAGGTACGGATATGTCCAGAGGATGCAAAATACAAGAATCGCTAAATAGATTATGGAATGAGTTCCTCCAAACTGCAAAAGACGAAGGAAGACTTTAAAAGACCGAATCCAATTTATAGAACATGTATATAAGTTTTATAAGAATAAACACTGGGTGACGGTAAAACAATACATGTTTTATTTTACGAATTTAATTCAAACTTTTGTTAGTTCAATTCTTAATCGCAAAACTATAATTATTTTTAATTCTAACGAAGATAACCTCCAAAAAGACAATTTGTTATGTAACTACACTAATTTGACGATGTATCTATATATTATTTTAGTTTCAATGATTAAAACCCGGACCTGAATACTATTTCTACTATAGGTAGTTATCAGTGTTTACTTTACAAGATATGGCAATTTATTACACACCTAGGTTGATTTACTTAAAACGGTCATATCATTGATAACAAAATATTTCGTAAAACGTATATA